ACAATGAGTGATCGTTTTATAAGTTGGATAAGATTGATAATATAAAATGCAATAATTAATATCTTGTTAGAACAAAAGTATACATTGTTACTTATGCATTTAGACAAGACGTCTTATATTCATATACGCGCGTGCGTATATAAATATAAATAATGTTTAAATATTAATTAATAATTGAATTTAGCATTGAATTAGGAGTTCGGATTGGATTTAGCATTGGATTAGGAATTAGGATTGGAGCAATACTAAATCCAATTATTAATTAATATTTAAACATTATTTACTAACATTTATTACTAAAAATGAAGGATACATGTGTCAATGCGCACGCATGCGCGTATATGAATATAAGACGTCTTGTCTAAATGTATAAGTATACAATGTATGCTTTCGTTCTAACAAGATATTAATTATTGCATTTTATATTATCAATCTTATTATCAATTTATAAAAAGATTACTCATTGCGACATATAATGAAAAAGGTATTATTTGCCTATTATGTTAAAAGAATATGCAACATAACCTATGATGACAACCTCTTATATATCAAAGAATTAATATTGAATAATATTTAATCTGTAATGGGTAAGTGTAGCTACGCTATAATTTAAGCATTTAATATCTTAATTTAAATACTTATGAAAATGTGAAATTATTTTAGATGATGGAAAAGAGAATTTTGTACTTTGTTCTAATGATTCTAAAAATTATATAAAAAAGTTACATGAAATTTGCAAGTGGGATCAACTTAATAATGTAGCCATAGAATATCATGATTTAAAAGAGACTATTTATATTGATTACAGAGAACTTTTTTTTACACAAAGTTTAATTTCTGATTATTTAAGAAGCATCAAACGTGTCGAATTTATTGGCATAAATTTTGATATTCCGGAGTTCTGTGTTATTTCTATAATACTTGGGTAAGATTTTAAATTACATAAAATAAATAAATAAATATATTATATAATATATTATATTCCTTGATTTCTATTGTAGAATCTTGAATAGCGGACATAGTTTTGTAAATATACCTATTGATTCAATAGAATTAATAAATTTAAAGAATCATTTAAATCTACATTATTTATTTTCTAAACAAATAAATGTCGAAGAAGATATTGTACATCAATTTAAAATACATAAAGAATGTATTTATCTCATCAAAGTTAAAGATGTCCAAAAACAAAACACACAAAAAGTAAAACAAAATTATTATGCTTATGCAATTTCTACATCTGGTTCAACAGGAACTCCTAAAGTAGTTAGAGTGCTCCATTCATGTATAGTTCCTAATATTTTAGATTTGAGCAAAGTGCTGACAATAACAAACTGTGATAAAATTTTTCAGTTTACAAATTTTACATTTGATCCTAGTATTGTTGAAATTTTTCTTGCACTTTCAAATGCTGCAACGCTATTCATGGTATCAAAACTATTGAAAAATAACCCATATAGGTAAATAAAAATTATCTGGAGAAATATAGTTTTTATGTAGAAATTAATTTTTACACAAGTATATTTATTTGTAGACTTTTGAAAGAAGCTTATTCTAACCAAATTACCATAATGCAAGTAACTCCATCAATTTTTATGTACAGTTGGACAGCCGAATCTTTGAAAACTAGTATTTTAAGTAATAATTCTTTATTAAGAGCTATTCTTTTTGGTGGAGAACCTTTCCCTAAATTAGAATTACTTTCTGAAGCCAAGCATCCTTGTAATAATACAAAAATTTATAACATCTATGGTATTACTGAAATATCTTGTTGGGCTAGTATTAACGAAATTGTAATAACAAATAAACAATTTAATGAACATTACTTGGGTCAAGTATTGTCACATACTATATTTGAAGTTAGAAATGAAAGAGAAGAAGTAATAACAAATGGTACAGGCTCTCTCTATATAGGTAATTTTATTAAATATATCATAATTTTATAAGATCATGAGCAAAGTTATTGCACATTACATTCTTTGGCAGGAAGCAATCAGAGAATATGTCTGATCAATGATGAAAATATTGAAGATTTAGAATTACCAGTATTTCGTGATTCTGGTGATATAGTTAATGTAAGTTAATGCAAATTTAATTAATGATGATAATAGTATATAGTAACAATAATTATAATAGTAGTAATATTTCTATTTTAGATTGATGAAGAGGGAAAGATATTTTACAAAGGAAGAAGAAATAGCTTTATTAAAAGATTTGGGAATAAAGTAGATTTGATAAAACTTAAAGAACTTGTATTGCAAATAGATTTTGTGAAGAATTGTTATGTAATGTGGGATGATAATCGCCATCATTTACATTTATATTTTTCTACTAAGGAGAATGTCACAAATCATAATGTAAATACTGATATAGTGAAATATGTACATGAACTAGATCCTTTATACAGACCAGATAAAATTCATTTTGTAGAGGATGTTAAATTTACATCTAATGGAAAAATTTCCTTAGAATTTTTAAAAAAGCATTACATACAACAAACTGTAACACATGAAATGTTAAAAAACATTAATTTTGAACAAATTGAAATTATTTTTAAATCAATTTGGAAAAACAATTTAAAACATGAAAATAATGGATTTGTAAAACTAGGTGGCACATCTATAACAGCATTTCAGATATCAAATACCATATCCGAAATATTAAATATAGAATTTCCTGAATTAATTAGCATGCTTTTAATGGATGCAACTATTGATAAATGTCTTTGTTATATAAGAAGCACTGTATTGTGTAATAGTGACCAAAACAGGATGACTAATCTTAATTTCCATTCTAATAGTATTAAAGAAGTTCCTTTGATTACTAATATTTCTACTATTAATGTCGAAAGCAAGAAATCTAATAATGAAAAAAAGATTTTTGACTCAATGATGCAAATAAATGATATTCATACATGCCAATGGTACAAGTGTAGAGGAAAAATATATAAAAGTGTCCAAGATATTAATATTGAACAGAAGTTACAATATAACGCAATTTCGAAAGTTGAAGTATTGAAAACGTATGATTTGAAAAAATGCGTAGACGCATCGCCAACTGTATTCCGTTATTCGGAGTAAGTACACCTTTTATGAACAGTTTCAAACATATTTTATGACTTGATTAATAGTAAATTATTTTATTTAGTGGAAAAACATATGCAACTGTTGGTTCTCATTCTGGCTTTATTTTTACCTTTGGATTAGAAAAGGAGTGTTGTAGCTCTGCATTTAAAATTAAACTACCTGACAGAGTTGAAGCCTCAATTTTGGTTTTGGATGATTTCAGAGGTATAGTGGGTAAGTTTCCTAATGTATAAAAGATCTATTTGTGTTTACTTAAGTCTTTTTTTT